GCTGAACCAGAACCATTTCCAAGGCACTCTGTGCTATCTGGTAACAGAGCATGAGTCCTCCTTACCCTGAAAAATGTGACCACAATTACTCCTGACCACTTTTTCTTACTCTCCTCTTTCTTTGCTATGTATAAACTAGTAACAACTGCGTTAACTTTATTAATAGGCCTATGCTCATTTACACACATGCTGAACTCAGCCATTAGGCTTCACTTTGTAGTTCTCTTACATTAAAAAAAAAAAAAAAAGTAAGTATTCAGGTAGGAATGGCCAAAACTGTGCACTGAAATGCATCTGTTACATAAAGATGGGGAGCTGTTTACACAACCAGCACACATGCTGAAGGAGGCCATTAGATCCCAGAGTCCATCTTTTGCCAAACCAGTAACTAATCCCCAGACAGAGGAACTTGTTTAATAAACACAGTGAGAGATAAGTGAACCATATAGTCAAGGAAATTTCATTTACACTTGCAGTTCCTGAATGTTATTTAAAGTGGCAGAGTTGATGATCTAAAGCACTTGTGGTTCGCCTTTGCTGTAATAAAATCAAAGCAGACCAAATTGCTTAACTTTACAAAGTCAGATTAGATACAGCATTTAAAATAACTTTACAATAGCGCTGTCCGAAGTTCCACTGGTCTTTGAAAACTCACTTCAATTGTAGTTTGTAAAAATGCCCCCAAAGGAACGACAACTTACTCCCGTGGTTTAGTGCTCACAAGAACCCGCAGGGGCTTTCTGCTGTTTAAACATGCTTTCAGGAAGGAATCCACTTCACTGAAGGGGCGCAGAAAAACCAGGTCACCATTAATGGCAAAGATTTTTTTCCCAACTTCCAAGCCTGCCATCTAGAAAACAGTAACAGTTGTGTATATGTTTGCCTTTTATAACCACTAACATTATGTTTTCTTCTGCTGGCATGCAACCCCAATAGGAATAATGACATGCACATTTCCTTTATATTCTTTACGCCTCCTTCACATACCACACACAAAGACTTGTACCACAAAACGCTTCTAGAACTGGTTACATTGATGTGAAGTGTACAGTAAACACTCATTCTGAAGAGACCTAAATACAAGACCTCATCTTAATCAAGATTTTACGACAGTATTTCCATATCAGTTAATATCAGTAATAATTAACACAACAGCTTTCATTAAGCCAGTTGGGTTTTTTTTATGACGTTACCCAATTTGTCCATCCATTCTTTCAAAGGAACTAAAGCTTCTTTTTATAAGGAAAGATCTGATTAATATTTTAGTAAGTGAATATTTATTAAGTTCCAAAACAAAACAATATCCTTGAATGTTTCATGGCCTTTGAAGCCAAAGGTATGGCAAGCCAAATTGCATACAGTTTTTAATCTCTGATCTAACAAGGAAGGAACCGTAACCAGTTGGCCGGCAGGAGTACAACACCAGGCAGCTCAGGGCACAGGCTAAGCCTTAGTGCCATCTGAGATCACGGCAGAACCTGACTGCTAGAAATCACCCTATATAGCTCTGTGGCTGTATTATATTATTGATTTACTGTATCTATTTTTATCTTAAATTTCTACTCCACCATGAGATTTAGAAAGGCTTGAAATCTAGGTCCAAATTTTTTCCCCTCACAGAAGAGACTCATTCTTTATCTTTACATGTATAGAGACTCTCATGCAGTTCAGTAGAATATGAATTTACTGAAAGAGTATCTAAAGTAATACTAACAAACAGAAAGGCTGTAATTTATTCATTCAGATTATTAAATTCCAGACTTTATCCAAAGCTTGATAGATCCTTTATTATAAAATATATCAAACACAACTCACAGACAAGCTTTACACTCATTTCATATTCTATCACAAACATTTATTCCACTCATGATTAATGCCATCACTGGACTATTATAAAAGGCATAAAAATAAAATGATAACTCTTGTATCACCACTTGGTACAACAATTTACCTGAGCAGAACATGGGTGCTGATAACGGTCAGAGCAATATTTTAAACAAAAAACCAAAATCAAAGAAAAAAGGAAAAAAAACAATATTCATAACCACAGTTTTCTTGGAAAGTTGTCACTGTTACCTTCTACTGCTATAGATTTTCCTAACTGATGTACAAACCATACACCTGTGATCAAGTGAATAAAACAGGGAAGATAATTTATAATACTTGATACCTCAGCATTTGATCCTTTCTCCACCACTTTAATAATTGGCACCTTATTTTTATCTTCTAAACCAAAACCATAGGTGCCTTCATTAGACTTAATCTGAAAAATAAAATTGTTCAAAATATTGTTCAGAAAGGCATTAAGAAGAGCTTAAGTATATCCCCATTAAATAACAATACACGATGCTAATTTATTGTCGCTACAACCGATTTTTTTACTCCTCCAAGCATACAATCATTGGGTTTCACTCACCAGTAGTGACTTGGCAATGACATTTTCCACTACTTTCAGATCATGTTTCATGAGTCTGTGCTTCATATTTGACCCTTCCATTTCTTCATCCGCATAAAAACGGAACAGCAGTGGTTCATCTTTAAATTCGCTTTTCTCTAACACTGTATGACATAAAAGCACACATATCAATCCTTTTTTTGTTTTAAATTTTTTAATATCATGTCTTTCATGAACCATAAAATACTGAACATGCACACACATATTAAATGCTGGCAAACTATTTTTGTGTGTGAAACTAGGGAAATCTGTATTTTTAACATAAACCACTGTTTTTATTTGGATTCATTACAGATTGGTATCACTAACCTATTTTTCAACTACAACATCTGGATTCCACCAAGCTGAGGAAGACACATTAGCCTGAAATAGTTTTAGTGAAAATGCTAAGCACAAGATTTCTTCCTAAAAATGATTCAGAAACGTGATTTTGAAAAGCTCTACTGGACAGCTGCTGGAGGTGCTCACCACCAAGCTCTAGCATTCTCCAGGTGGTGCAGCATGCCAGGTTCAGTATTAGCAGTGGGTTGGTGGGGACATGGAAGCAACTTGAACAGCAAATGGATGCAGCTTGTATGTTTAAAAGTCAAAGGAAAAAGAATGAATAGTGCCAGAGAGGAAGTTAATTCTCCCTCCTTCTCCAAACAAGCTGATGAGAAAATAATGTCTTCCTCTTTTCATTTCAGTAAAGGACCTACTGCTTCAATCCTTTCCCTGAAGTCTTCCCTCTGATGGTATTAAATGCGACCTTGTTCACCTCATTTTTGGTACTGCACATATCTCTGCTCTCCTCCCCCTTCCTCTTAGTTTGCTGCTGTCCTTATGATTTTCTCATTTTTCCACAGTCCACTTTCTCCTGTTGTCACTGTTTCATTTTTTAAAAAGTCATGCTTCTCCATACTTTATTCACTCCCCAAAAAATGTCTCCTTTCTTTCCTACGTATTTCCTAAATTTTTATTGTCTCATCTGTGCAAACACGTATTACCTGCTTAAGAAATTTCTTTCAAAGTGGCTACTAAAACTGCCCCCCTCCCCCCCCGCCCCAAATCCTTTAGAGGATGAATTCCTCAGTACATGCTATAAAATTTACTGAAAATAATTTTCAGACTATACAATAGCTATTTTTTTTCCTTGAAGATTGTAGCATAGATCTCCTCAGCAATACAATGAAAGAACTTCCCATCCCATCTGTAATATCTTTACCAGCTCCTGCATTTCCTTCCAACTATGTAAACAGCACTAAATAAAAGGTAAGTATAGATTGTACAGAATGTATTTACTTACCATGGTGCATAAACCCGTTATCACACAGAGCTACACCAAATATCATAGCTTCCTCCCTCGTCCGGCAATCCCCCTGTTAAACCACGGCATATTTTCTTTAATATAGCAGCAAAATGGATTCTATGCACAATGGCATAACCTCACAGGGCTGGCAAGGGTTGTAGATTATATTTACCACCACTACCATTATATATACATTTATAGCATACACATAAACCAGTATATAAATGTTTTCATAGAATCATAGAATAGTCTGGGTTGGAAGGGAACTTTATATGGAATACCTCTTTAGAGTTACAAATAAATGTGTAGACATTTTAGTAACACTGCATTCTCCATAAAAAATTAACATAATAGAATCTGAAAGTGTCAAAGTTTTAAACTTCTATTTTATAAAACCAGTGCATGTTGATTGAGCGAACAGGGTATTGTGTTCTTGTTCCTAGTTCGCTTAAAATAAAACAGAACTGATGACAGCAAATTGGTACTGACTTTTATCGATCTAGTTAGTAATTCAGAGTTTTTCAGAGCCTATCCATTCCATTTTAAGCCATGAACAGTGTTGCATGCTGAATCACAAAGCTAAGTCTCATTAAAACATTTAAAGTTCAATTGCAAATAAGGAAGATATGCACAAAAGGGATGAACACCATGGTTGCTGAGTTTAAGAGGATTACACTTACAGACACTGCTCTAATAACCTTTACACAAAGCGTTTGCATGTTATTCTGCTTAATACATCACTACCTTTCAAATTAGAATTTAAATGCAAAACGTACATACATCCAAAGACGTATACTTGCCTGTGCAATCAACCAGTCTATGAGTTTGTTAGCCATGACCACAGATTTGTAGGTTCTCAAGTGATAATCTTTATCCCTGTTCAAAACAAAACAAAACATTAAACAACAACAAAAAAACAACACTCAAAAGAGCCTAACAGAAAAAAACTTTTATTTTATAAACAAGTTCATGTAAGCATGAATTGAGTATTTTGTGATGATTCAGAAGTTGCCTCTGGAGTAAAAAAGCAAGTCAAACCTTTCAGTGTAGATCAAATGGAGGAGGTTGACCATTTTAGTTGGGCAATAATGTCACTGGAGTATAATAGCTGTTGTTCTGTTACAGCTGAGACTCTCCAAATGAGGTAATGGAGTGTTAATAAATGAGTGTATTAATATATACAGTAAGCATATAAGGATATCCATCAGGACCTAGAAGGCTTTAAATGTCTCTAAAAAAAAAGGTCATACTGAGCAGAGTTTGCTGTCAATTAATGATTCAGTTATGCTTACTTTCTTGATAGCCTGTAAGTCTTGCTTGATTACTCAAAAGAGACCAATCTTGAAAGGATGGGTTAGGTTCCTACACTCACAACACAGTATCTTCAGATTACATACTTCTTCCGAACGACTCTCTAAGGATTTCCCAATTGGACTCACCTAATTACTGGAGTAAACAGACTGTGAAGGCGACAGTACAGTCGCACACCCTGTTAAAGAGAAAGACGACGTTAAGTTAACCACATGTTCACACCACAGAGAACATAAAGAGCAACGGACGCAGTAAGGAAGCCTGTATGTTCTAAATGCATTTCACTTAGATAGTGAAAAAAGTTTGTTCAAATTTCTATATATTTTCATGTGCCAAAACTTAGTATTTCCAGATAACAATACTGATAAATAAATTACGAGAAAGAAAATATTTCCAATCTAATCTAAGCTTCACTGAGACACATGCAAAAAGGATTAGCTTTAAGGTAGCATTAAAAAATTCTGAAAGTATAGTACTTTGAAAGAAAAGTACAAAAAACCTGAAAGATAAAGCAAAGTTTCCATGCATTAAGGTTTTCCCAATCACTGGTTGCTATTCTACACACAAAGTGAGTAATTAAATTAAAAAACACTGCATTTGATTATATGCTTTGATACTTTACTTACAAATTGAAATTATAACTAACAAATAAACTTTAAAAAAATGCAAAAAGATTCAAAGATTGGAAACATTTTCAATTAAAAGCAAAAAATAAAAGTTGGAGGAGTTTAATGAACTACTATCAGAAAATTGTATTTAAAAAAAGAAATCACATTAGTATTACTTAGCAGACTATCAAAAAAATAATTATGTTTATAACATGCAAGAAGAACCATGTATAGCAATTAAAAGTTCTGTCAAATTAGATTCCAACCTACTTTGCTCTGCCTGGTAGTTCAGTATTGAAGATTCTTCTAGATATACCTTCCCTTAACAAATGCCAGCAGAGAAGTGAATGACACTGTAATGTAATACCCAAATGCTGACATGTTCTACAGTCTCAAAATAATAAATAGTGTGAATATTAATGAGTTTAAAGGCAACACTGCTCAATCATTTTGTTACGCCCAGTAGCGCAGATGGATAGCACTACCTATCTGTGTTTAAACATTCACACGACTGCAGATTTACTGCCTTACGGCACTAATAAAAGACACTCATATTTAAGAGAAAATGAAAATCAACTTTCTATGTATAGCTTCATACCTATTAAAATTGACTAATAAATACACAGTGAAATGCCAGCTTCAGAATCAGCCAGAAACATAGGTAATGCATCCTGCATATGAAACCATCAAATAACAAAAAAAATTAAAAAAAAAAAGACAAATTTCAATTTTGTATTTAAAATGTGTTACAAGAAGCCAAAATTTTCCCTTTTAAACAGAAAACTGAATTTGATTCACATATAGACAGGCAAGTGTGAGGGGAATGTTGTTTATCCAAGCATAATATTTTACATTATTTTTCAAGTCGAACCTTTATTTCTGATGTGTTCTTCCTAATAATCTCAACTATTATATTCTGTACCTTAGAGATCACATCCTGCATCTCATTTCTGGGGTAGTATGTTCCATCATCGTATCGGAATCTGTACAGCATGTGTTCGGGTTTGAATTGGTGCTTATCTGTAACTAAATTAGAAAAAAATTATGTATTTCTAGGTGACTTTCTGAAGAAATCAACAGGAGAGAAGAGAGTGAGCATCATTTCTTCTAATAACAGCCCATTACACAGCAGTAAGTAGATTTCAGACAGGGAAGGCAGGAAACCCGATTAGATCATCTGCCCTACGTTCCTTTATGTCACTGGTAACGTATTTCTCACAACGTTTAAGTACTTCAGAAGAAACCAAAGAATTTCAAGTCACAGGGCAAAGAAGATGACAGAAACAGGCAGGGAATAGTCTGAAAAATCTCACAACGTTTAAGTACTTCAGAAGAAACCAAAGAATTTCAAGTCACAGGGCAAAGAAGATGACAGACAAACAGGCAGGGAATAGCCTGAAAAATCAGGCGCTCCAGTCTTTCTAGTCTGCAGCGCTTTGGCAAAGCTTATCAACCGAATAGCCAAATGAAGCTTCTTTTGCAACTATTCATGTTATTGTTCCACCATATTCTCTGTTCTAATTCTTGCTGAGACCTACAAGTCAGTAAAGGTACAAACCCTGGACAACACATCTGACCAGTCTTGCACTGGGGAGGGAAGGGAGAGGGAATATCTTTCTCTATACACAGCCAGCTGAAGGTCTTAAGCGCAAGAGACAGCAACCATTATGAAGGTGTTGATCATCCATCTTCCCAAAGACCCATGAAAAAGGATCTTAATGAGTGAATTTCCAGAGTTTCACAAGATTCCAGCAACAAATCTCACAACTTCCACGTGCTTTGTCAAAACAGTTGTATCATATGATACAAAACTTCTCCTGGAAACGGTACTACAGCATCTTTCTGAAAAAGAGCCGATTCATTTGATGGCTGAGGACAGTACTAGGCACTCGTACTGCCCTAGGGTAACAGTCTTGTATTAATTACTGTTTTGCTTGCAGATATAAGCTTTAATTTTGAAACTAAATTTGCATGTCATCAATTGATAAAGGAGAGTACTGTAATGTCTTCATTAATCAGAGTAACAGGGCTGACAGTGTTAGGTAATTCTTCTGTGCATGCCTTCCTATACCAAGTGATTAAAGCATCATATACTATCCTCTTCAAAAAATTTACTTAGGCATCATAAACTTTGTATAGTAAGGTGCTTTCTGCCTGCATCATTTTTCATGCCCCTTCAAGCTCTTCAGTATCGTCACACATCACCTGACAAACGGACATAAAAACCAGACTTCATACATTAAGGTTTCATCAGTGTCACGTGCAAGAGCAAAGTAACTTCTCTACCTGTATTTGATATATCTACTAATAGTAAAGCCTAGGACACTATTCCAATTGCCTTGAACTGATGGTTCACGCTAAGGTGATTATCCACAGTAACCCCTAAGCTCTTTTACGTATCATTGCTTCTCAATAAATCAGATATAGATCTCAACTTTCATATACAATGCCTAGTATAAGTATCTAAATGAATTTTAATTGATCGTGACCATTTAACACAGGAAAAAAGATATCTTCTAATTCTGCAATTAAAAAAGTCCTACTGCTGAAGAAAAAAAAAATATATTCCACTAGAATGGCATACGTTAAGAGGTTTTAAAATGAGCAACTACAGAAAACAGAAAAACCACTACCAGTGCGGTACTCCCTAAGGCCAAATTGTTCCTCGCTGGTACAGAGATGCTCTGGGAGGGAACCAGGACCACAAAGCACCTTTCCTTTCTTGCATGTCCATGACGAACAGAGCAGGCTATGCCTTCTGAGGAACACAAGCACGGCTCCGTCTCTGCAGCCTCTACTTACACACAGCGCACCAGAAACTAAGGGAGCAGGTCCACAGAGCTGACACATCCTGAGTTGCAAACACTTAAAGCTGATAAAACACTGCATTACCACAAAAATAAGGAACTCCAAGTTGTTTTGTGTGTCGCTCCCAACAATGTACCTATATTTTTTTGTTGCGATAGATATTTATTTGACACACACTAAGAAAAGGGATCTGAATCATCTTTAAACTAGTCTTCTCTTTTACTTTTTTTGCCAGGGTAATTTTGACTCAGATCAGTCTAGCAGTCCAAGAAACTGCACAGCCACGTAAATACCCATTCTTTTCAAAACTACCTGATATTCAAATTATTTTTGTAACTACAAAGCTCCTTACTGCCTTGAGAGGAAGCTTCCATCTCTAATCAGCAGCAGCAAGTGACCGGACAAAGTACCTCAGCCCACTGGCTGACATAAATCATCTCAGATATTAGAGAATGCCACCAGGTGGACTTAAAATAACAACATACAAACAGATTTTTTTTCCCTTTCACAAGCCGGGGGGGGGGCGGGGGGAAGGCAAAACACTTAACTTTTCTACTTGTAAGAGTTTACACACTCGGAAGTAAACAACGCCCATCATAACACGGTTCCGGCATTGCGAGAATGAAGCCCAGCACAGTGAAAATAATGGCCAGCACAGTCAATGTGCAACATCTAACAAAGCCCTCTACAACATTTGCAATGTGAGTAACAGCCAAACTTTCTTTCTCCCTTGCTCACTCTGTGAAAACAGATGGTTCATTCAACTTTATTTTAAGAATTCTATTTTCACTGAACCACAGCTGGATCGCTATTCAAAGTAGCATGTCTGGCTCACATTTCTATGCTCTAATATAATTACCCTTTTATCTCTCGAAATTACACAATATTCATTTAACTCTGTATTGAGAAAGTCTATGAGTGTATTTGGGATATAAATTACAAGATCGGGAGAAGAATCTTTGGCAACAGAATCATTCCATTGAAAACAATTCTGTGTGTGTAGTAAACATAATAGCATCTGACATTTGAATGACGGTGGAGGAAAATCATGTAGACTGACATTAAAGAATTAAAGTCTACATGACTACTGATGAATAACCTTAATGTTTTTCCTCCCACTCTGCGTATGTTTAAAATGCACACAGCTAAGTGGCACTCTGTTACTCCCACTTTCTTTCCAGTCAAGGACACTGAAAACATCATGGCAAAGAACTTAAAAAGTAAGTATTAAATTCATTGCTGGCTGAAGTACAGAAGTATTAAAACATATATTATCACTGATTCTATCTAAATTTATATCCTGGATCAGTAGCTAACTTCACAACTGTTTCACTATTTGGTTTTTGTTTGGTTTTGGGGGTTTTTTTGTTGTTTTTGTGGGTTTTGTTTGGGTTGTGGTTGGTTGGTTGGGGTTTTTTAAGTGACTGTACATATTGTAACCCAAACATGCCTTCAAAACCAGAAGTTTCTCCAGTTCGCTTATATGGTCCTGTTGGACTATACCTCGTAAAAGGGTAAGACATAAGGACCTGCTCTGGTAAGAGAAAAATA